TAGAGAGAGTGACATAGACTGAAGCCATTCAGTACAGCGATGTGGGGAGCAGGATGGTGTGTGTGAAGCACAGAGCATAGAGCCCACCCTGCGCCAATGGCTTCAGTGACAGCAGCTGCTATTATACCTACTGGAGCTGGAAGCAGTTTATATGGGCATGTGCGTGCCCGTGCAGGTAGAAGGGAAAATACTCAGCATTAATAAGCTCCGCCGTTCCCAAATAAATGCGATTCCGCTGAGCAAGCTCTGTCCTGGGAGCGTTTGCTTAAGCCAGAGAGGAGTTTCTAAAAGCAACATTTCAAAGGAGAAGGTGGCAGGTAGGTCATGCAAATTTAACAAGAGTCCTCTTTACGTGGGCGGTGAGAAATGGTAGCTCTGGGACACACAAGGAACCTTCAGTCCTCACAGCAGCCCTGAGACTCAATTGAACTTGAAATTCCTCGCCCAGCACTCCCCATTTCTCCCACGCCAGCAAAGTGAACAGCCATCTGATCTGGGCTCGGCCAAGGGACAGAGCTATCTTTGCCTCTCGCCAGCTGAGAAATGGTTTGTTTCCCTTTCCTTGCAGCTTTCCTTGGCCATTCAGTATTTTCTAGCTCAGTCCCATGCCAGCGCTCCCTCCTGGGGGGCACAAAGTGGCAGATTCCAGGGGGGATTGTAATGTAGAGCAGCAGGTTCATTCCCACCAGGGCTCCCGCAGACCCACTGCTGGAGTCAATGACCTTATTGAAATGGCTTCTGGCCTGTAAAAGCATTTTCCTAATCCTGAAAGCTTTTAGATGCACCACCAGATTCTAAACTTTTCTTGGAGAATTGTCATGTCATGAACTCAGTGGGGGAAGGAAAGAACTGCTTGATGAAACTGACATTTTCAAGCCGGGAATGTGAAGAGTGTACTAGGGTCTATGCGGGCCTCACCATTCTCCTTCCTTAGGTGTGCCCCTCTTCAGATCAGTAGGTGCCATTCCTTTTCCTGCGACAATGAAATCATCCCCCTTTAAGACCTCGCCCGAAGGCCAGCCCTTTGGGAAGCCCTCCAAGATAACTGCAGCCCAAATGACACTCCCCCTTTCTTTGATTATCTGCTGCAGTTATTATCTGTAATAGCCCATTTGGCACTCCTGTTCCCACAACAAAATCTGTGCTCCCCGTTGTGTGTGGCATTGTGCCGGCAACATAGAACTCCTCCATCCGCAATCTTCAGGTTCCACTCGGTACTTAAGGGGAAAACCAGTCATTGTTTTAATTCATTAATAAATTAACTTTCATTGCAAAATCTGCAGGGATTTCTGTCTTCCAGCCTTACATTTTCTTCCCATTTCGCCTTTAATGCAGTAAGCACCACCACCTCCCACTGTGTGTTTAATTACTGTACTGATTGCTTACTTTGTAGGCTACATGATGTGGAAAAAATACAAAACTTAAAAGCAAGGCACTCTCCCTGACCTCCCTAGGGGTAGAGACTGAAGCCCATAAAAATATAAGAAAACACATTTAACTCTAGATAACTAGTGCCAGACGAGTGGTCTGGATAATTGCACAACCCCTGCGGCCCCAAGTGCAAGCCCTATCCCCCCTGCCAGCAATGGACTTCCTTGACCTGAGACCTGGACCTTCAGTCATGTGCTTGGAAGAGCCTTCCTTAGCACCATCTTTGTTTATTTTAAGCCTAACCTTCCTTTATCTTTCAGGCCTCTCTTTTAGAAAATCTCTATACATGTATTTTTTTCTCTTTTCTTCTCCTCCATCCTGGTGAGTTTTCTTTACCTTGCCCAATGTCTGTAATTTTAGGTGAGCATATGGTCAAATGCTCAGGTGATTCAAAGATTTCAAATATATTGATAATTGCAGTTTATTTACCTACTAGAGGCCGGTGCATGAAATTGGTGCACTCAGGGGGGTCCCTCAGACCGGCCTGCGCCCTCTCGCAATCCAGGAGCCCTTGGGGGATGTCCGACTGAGGGCTTAGGCCCGCTCTCTGGGAGAGCGGGCCTAAGCCGGCAGTCAGACATCCTTAGTTCTGCAGCAGAGGCGGGAGAGGCTCCCGCCACCACAGCTGCGCTTGCCAGTGGTGAGCCCAGCTTCTGGCTAAGCGGCGCTCCCCTGTGAGAGTGCACTGACCACCAGGGGGTAACTCCTGTGTTGAGCGTCTGCCCCCTGGTGGTCAGTGCGCATCATAGCAACCGGTCATTCTGCCATTCATATTTGCATATTAGCCTTTTATTATATAGGATAGAAAGATTAAGCCCAACATCCCATTACTTTTTATTATATTCAGTTACCAAACTAATGTAATTTTCTTTTAATTCAGTCAAGTTATTGTGAAGGATAAGCAGGTGCATTTTAATTTAATTTTGAGGTTCTGTGAACAGTGGAAATAGGAAACCTGAGTATGTTAAGCCTGACAATCTCTATTCTCTCCCAACTTGGGTGTTTGTAGAGGCATTTACCTGGGTCTCTGAACCTCTGTTAGAGGATGACATGATGGGGAAAGCAGTTGGTAGAATGGGGAGGTAACCACTGGAGACAGTAGTTGTCAGATGAAACTAATTGATTGTAATTGCTTTGCCATCGTATTGCTCTTGGAGCCTGTAGCTTGTTAAAACCACTGATTATGAAAGAAGGATCTCACTTTTTATGCTGTAGGTCATGTTAATGAAGAACTGTTCTTAGAGAAATGATCAGTGGATATCAATAAATGGATAATAGAAATTAAAGGAAAACTTAATTAACTTGATCATGAGTTACTATACTTCAGCAGTCACAGTAGCAGTCAACTGTGTGGTGTTCCCTACTGAATCTTTTGCTTGGAGCTCTTGAATTTTAAGTATTTCCCACGGAAAGAGAGATTGAGCTTGTGAAACTATTTATCACATACTGTCTTAAATAACAAATCATCCTGTAGATTTATCTTGGAAAACAGAAGATATGTCTGTTTTACAGAGCCTTTATTTTGTGACAAAGTATTAATGGGCAGGTATTTTGAAATGGAAAAAATAAGTTCCCATTGTATCACCAAGAAAGGATATTAGAAGTGGGTTCTTCAATGCTCATGGAATATGAGTAGTATATGAGTGAGCATCTGTCTGAATCTGAAGATAATATTTACTTTTCAATATTCATCAATGTTAAAATGAGTATACTAAAATGATATCATTAATGTGAAGTTATATCTAACATTTTGTTGTAGGATGCGCATTAATGTTCATATGATTGTAACTATCATATCTTTCATCCTGGCATTTAAACTGTTGGTGATGTTAGAGTGATCACATTTACTGAAAACGTTTTTACTGAGCACCAGTTCTGATTAAGGCTCAGGCTCAGTCTGGCCTCAAGGAACTCACAGACTAAAGAAACAAACGTGAACAAATGGTTGCTTGTAGCATTAAGCACAGTGATGCCGGCGATAAAAAGTGCTAGAGGGACGCAAGGGGAAAATGAACGATTTCTCGGTGTCTTCCAGCAAAGCTAAAGATGGTCTAGATTGGAGCAGTGTGATAGTTCCTGGTATTTGGGGAAATGAAAAAACAGAAATTAAGGTGTGTGTTTTAGGGTGCAAGAAGATGAGATTAGACAGGCAAAATTCCACATAGCCTATTGTCTTTCTTTGCCCCACTATGGGATTTTGAGTTATTCCTATGGGAATGGGGCTCCCAGAGGAGTTTTAAATGTTGAAGGACAGGAGTGAATCTCCTTTTAGGAAGATCACTGCCCCCTCAGTGTGGATGATGGCCAGGGATGGCTCATTGCAACCTCCAGGCAGTAAGCAGGTACAATTGCCTGTGCTGTTGAATATTAGTGTTAATGTAGGTCTGTGAAAAGGAAATTAAAAGAGCTCAAAAGCCGAATCATTTTTCATCTTTGACTTTTAAAATATATTTTTCTGAATGTGAGATTAGTGCTAATACACTTGTTGCTGAAAACGTGAAACTAGGATGTCTACACGTGATAATAGAGTCTGTGTCTAGCAGACAGCACATACTTATGGCTAGTTTTGTGTTTAGGAAGTAGATGTAGTGTTGCTTAGTTGGAAAAAATGTAAGTAATTATGATTTTAAAATACATGTTTAAGATAATGCTTAAAAAATGGCAATAATTTGGTTCTGTTAAATAATCACCAGAAAAAAATTTCACATTCAAGATTCTGTTTTAGAATTTGGAACATTTGCATTTTAATTACATAACAAAAGGATCAAGTGAAGGGATAATTGGCTTGGCTATTAGCCAATTACAGCTATAACTGAAAAACAAGAATAAACATCAAAAAAACCTCACAGAAACTGACAATGGTTTCCACAATCAGTCACAATAGACACTGATCAGATGTTTGATGACATTTGGCAACACTAAATGGACGGGGGCATTGTTTCATTCCCGCACACAATGTGTTTGTTAAAACTGAAATTAATGAGAGCAGATTGGAGGAGTTTGAAGGGTCGTTCGGTTTTCACAGCGAATGCACCCTCAGATAAGGCTTGTCTCCAGTGATCCCAGTTGTTAAAACCTCATGGAGAAGTAAGACAGCCAATGCAGTTTGTCCAGGCTGCTATAACAATACCAAAGACTGGGTTACTTATAAGGAACAGCAGAAACTTATTTCTCATAGTCCTGGAGGCCGGGAAGTCCGAGGTCAAGGTGCCTGCAGATTCAGTGTCAGGTGAGGTCTTCCTGGTTCATAGAAGGCGGTCTTCTCGCTGTGTCTTCACGTGACCCAATGGGCAAAGCAGGTCTTGGAGATCTAGTCATGACCTAATCTCTGCCAAAGGCCCTCGCTTCCTAATACCATTACCTTGGGGATTAGGTTTCACTGTATGAACTTGGAGGAGGTCACATCCAATTGCATTTTTTTCATTACAGGGGAGGTTTCATCCGGTCTGTCTAGCGTTCCCACGGTCAGTGCCAGGAGAGGGCCTCCATGCGGAGATTCAGGGCAGTGACAGGAGCCGGGGTGTCAGAACGCACCACTGACCGCACCGCTCCGTGTGCTTCCCTTACAGACACCACCACGTATGCCACCGAGCGGTCCGAGCACTTCAAGCCCTGCCGAGACAAGGACCTGGCCTACTGTCTCAACGACGGCGAGTGCTTCGTGATCGAAACCCTGACCGGATCCCACAAACACTGTCGGTAAGCCATTGCGGCCCCTGGCCCGAGGGCAGGCCCTCAGAGAGGCCTGGCGGGGGGGTGGGGAGGTGCAGCCCCTTGAATATACAAGGAGGTGCCTACAGTCCGGCTGTTCGAATGGTGGAATCAAGAGTCATAATGGGAGAAGGGAGAAGGCTGGTATCTTTTGTATTTGAGGAAGATAAAACTGAATGAAAGTAGACAAGATCTGAGTTTTACCTGATTAAGTAAAGGGCGATTTGCTTTAAGGACTACCAACCTGATAGGAATAATGGTTTACTCCCTTCAGCGGCCTGTGTTTTTGGTGTGGGTCTTAGGTACATGTGCTCCCACTTGGAGGAATCCCTTCTTGGAAACCTTTAGACCAGTGGTTCTCAACCTCCTGGCCCTTTAAATACAGTTCTTCATGTTGTGACCCAACCATAAAATTATTTTCGTTGCTACTTCATAACTGTAATGTTGCTACTGTTATGAATCGTCATGTAAATATCTGATATGCAGGATGGTCTTAGGCGACCCCTGTGAAAGGGTCTTTCGACCGCCAAAGGAGTCGCGACCCACAGGTTGAGAACCGCTGCTATAGACTGTGGCACAACAGACAGAACTGCTCATCTGAGATCTGGCGTCTCAATGTTTGCTGTGCACCAAACCCCAGAGACTGTCACTGTGTCCAGGGAAACTGCGTCTTCCTTTGCTTCTGCCCCATTTATTCATTTCAATACATTTCCGACACCTCTGATGATGAAACGCCCTCCAGCAGGCGCTTGTAAATGGAATCGCCCTTCTGTTGCGGCCTGGGTAGAGAACTACTTAGGGAAAATTCTCAGTAGAGATCAGGAAGGTGTTTAATTGGTTTTTAGAGACATGAGGTTACGTAACTGCTAAAAATAAAAACATGTGGAGATAAACAGTGCACCTGCGGACCCTGCTGCTTTAAGGCTCCATAGAAGAATCAAATTAGCATCTGAAAAATATTTCCAGCGAGCTTTACTTCCAGCCCTCTCCGGGCAATTTGTTTTCCTTGCAGCTGTTTATGCTTCAATGATCAAATATATCCACACCCCTCTCCTCTTTCTTTACTCTTCTCACATGACACAGTTATTAAATTAATTATTCTGAGTCATGAAGCATGGAAAATTATGACTTTGCTCTCTCTGTTGCTATTATAAAACTTGACTATTACTAAGATGACACAGAGAAATGCATGGTAGAGTTGCAGACTTAGAATGTGTCAGTGACACTTGCCTGGCGCCCTGGGCCAGCCTCGCTCCAGGGCGATGAGCTGCCACAGTGGGCCGGTCCCAGGTTTGGAAGAGCTGAGAGGTGATAGTGGCAGGTCTCTGTGAACGCTACTGCGCGTCGCATGTCAGGGTAACAACTGTGACCTTCTCACCTCGCCATGGAGGCTTTCCTGTGCCTTGGGCAGTGCCATTACATGTACCCCGTTCATAAAATGTATACCCTCTTCCTGTTCTCTGTGACCCTGGGTTGGGGGTGAAGCGATTGGGAATGGCTCCTCCTTGCATTCCTCTCCTCTTGTTACATTTGTTAGGTCGGCACGGACACAGATAGGAGACGCACGGGTGACTCGGAGACCTCAGGGGCAAAGCCAAGCATGAGTTACCCTTTGAAAGCACGGCAAGCTTGCACACTCTTACAGATACGCAAGCACACGTTACAGCTACCTTGGCCAATCCCAGGGCGCATGGTGTGGAAGTGGGCCGTGAAATCAGTTGAGTTTCAATTCCTAATGGGTTAGTGATGGGGTGGGTAAGTCAGAGGTCTCACCTGGAACAGTGACTTTTCTGATGGTGTTTGACCCCGAGGACAGTATGCTGGCTGGTATGATTCATTTTTTTTCTAAAGCTGAGAGGTTGAAAGATGTCTTATTCTCTCTCAACATTCTTCCTCATTATATTGTCTATTAGTTCATGGACATACTTTGCTAGGCTGTTGTAACAAAGCACCACAGATCGGGTGGCTTACATAGCCAGGATCTATTTTCTCACAGTCCGGAAGTCAGAAGCCTGAGGTCAGGGTGCTGGTGGTGATTCCTTCCGAGGCCGTGGAAGAGGGGCACCCTTCCCGCTCTCTTTTTGGCTTATAGGTGGCTGACTGTTCCCTGTGTCCTCTCTTTGTCTTCAGTCTGTGCATGTCTGCATCCAGATTTGCTCTTCTTATAAGGATACCAGTCATACTGGATCCGGGTCCACTCCCCATTTTAACTTAGTGACCCTATTTTAATTTTACCTCTACAAAAACCCTTTCTCCAGATATGGTCACAGTCTAGGTTTGGAGGTTAGGACTTCAACATACGGATGAATTGGGAGACCCAGCCCACTCTCTGACAAAGGACCTCAGGTCCAGATAAAAGAGCTTTTGCTTTTGTAGATGTGCATGAGTCTAACTGTTTAAATGCAAGCAGAGATACAGCCATGGCTTAGCTGGAACAATGTCCATGTAAAATCTGTTCAATCATTTTGCATATTTCATCACATTCGACCTGTTATTTAACATAGTCACAACATAGCTAATCATGACAAAAGAGCAGCCTAAAACTGAGTCGGAACTCGAGTAGCTTAATAGCGCCCTATAAATCTCCTACTTGTGCATATGAATAAATCACACATCGCATGTGCCCGCTATTCATCTCCCAGACTTTGCTGTTGAATAAAGACTTACATTTCTTCCTACATCAGCCACTTCTAGGACTTCCAATGTAGTCATTAATAATGTGCCATTTTGCACAGCACTCTATTTAAGTGGCGTGTTTCATTCTTTCTTCTCCATTTGACAAATGTTTATTGAGCACTTCCTATCACCAAGATACTGTTGAATAAATACATACAGAAATGAACTTAGGAATTAAATGGCACTATATTTTGTAATGTGTTGGGAGCAAGTGAAATTCTTCATCGTTAGGAAATAAAGAAAACCAGAGAAAGTGTTCCGCATGACTGGCATGCTACTGGGATATCTTTATGATACATTACTAACTGGATTATGTTTCCAGTGAAATTAAACACGATGTCATATATCAGAGCAACAATGTAAAAGGGTGTGAGTGAATCTAGCTCATTAACTTGTTTACTTTTTCCATGTCTCAAAAGATTAGACATTCACATCTGAGAGAAATTGATTATGTTTTCTAGTATTTTAAGAATAAATCACAGTTCTACAATAAACTGAATCAAACATTTTTTTCTACATCATAATTTTGATCATGCTCTAACACTTTTCTGTTTACCAGCCAAGGAAGAATCGTAGCAAAACTATAGCAGGGTCATCCCTGATAGAGATTTTGAAAGAAATGCACAAACATGTTAACAGTGCCAGCCTTGGATAAGGGAGGTTTCATGTGTTTCTATTTGTTATTTTCTCTCTTTAGTGTATTTATTAGTGGATCTTTTCAAAATCCATTTATAGTATGAATAATTAGAAATTATAGAGCAAACTAATGAACATTTCAGAGGAATGCAAAGATTCTAAAACACTGGACAGAGGGATTTTGAAGAATAATAAGTAAATAGGCAAACTTGATCTCGCTGAATTTAAAATATACTATGAAGTCATAGACCATTGGCTGACTGATTAATAAAAAGAGAACATGGCATATAGTGAAACTTCATATAGAATAAGGGGACATTCATAAATCGGAGGAAAACTGAGACACTGATCATGGGGCAAATTTGGTCTACTATCAGTTACAGCCAATCAAAATAGGATTTTTACTTCTTTCTCTGAACCAAAAGTTGTTCTTAATGAATTCATAAGTTTATATAATTAATAAATAAATAAAGTCTTAATGGAAACGGTAAAAAATTACATATTTACTTATGCCAGCAATTGTAAGGGCTTCTTGAACTATAAATGAACAGCATTGTCACAACCTTGAAACGTTGTTTTTGACATGAATATTGTAAATCAGAAATGAAATTAAAAGACAGATACATGATCAGTAAACTGTACAACAAATATGGCAGGTAATTATTTTGAAAAGTCACATAGATGAATAAGAGTGACACTAAGTTTTATCCTCAACAACAGGAAAATGGACAAAGGGAACAACATACTTTTCCCTTAAAAAGGAATACAAATAACCAATAAACATGAAAAATACTCAGCCTCACAAAAACATGCAAATTAATCCTTTTGTTTGGCTAGCATACATTTAAATATTTGAAAAAGCAAATACTCTGGTGAGAGTTCAGTAGAAACATAGTCACTATGTGAAGAAGTGCATATTGTTAAATACCCTCTGCAGATAATGTTTCAAAATCTTTATGGCATTTCTAAGAATTTCGCCTATAAGACTCATATGTAGATTTATTTGTAAGGATGTTCAACACAGGTTTATTTGTAATAGAAAAAGAAAATACTGAATTTAGATGTTTGGACAATTTAAACTGTTTTAAGGACATGGAAATGTTTATTATTTCACATTATAGATGCAAATCAGGTTATTAAATTGCAAAGTTGAACATATAATAATTGACCAAATTATGAAAAATAGGTAAATGAAAATGCTATTAGGATTTACAGCTATATTCTTCTTTGATCTTTATGAATTTTGTAAGATCTCTACCTGGCACATATATTTCATTTATGTAATTCCTGGTTAAGAAGGTTGGCCCCTGCTTCTCACCTATCCATTAAGAAAGATAGATAGTGTCCCTTTCTCTGTTAAATTGAGGTCATTATAATTCACTTTTTTTAAGCTAAGAGAACTTCCCATTAAGCCCTTTCAGATATAACACTGCCTAGTATATTCGAGTGTGTCTGTCTCTTCTTTTAGTTATTCATTTGTACTCTTTATACGTTTATACGTTTTATAATAATTTTTTCAATACTAAATTCACTTGTTTTGAAACATAAAAATAGGAAGATACATCCTACATAAATGAAGCTGGATAAAGAAAGAAAGCAATTCCCTATAAACTCCTCGAATCAAAATATTCTGAATCGAAGCAGGATGCTCTCTAACATATTTATTTATGCTGTTT